TTTGTTGTATCTTTGTATGCCATCATGTAACTCGTCGAGCAGGCGGTTTTTAATTGAATTGTTTATGGCAAGTTGTACTGATTTGTTGTTTAGAGAAGTTTTAAACATTTCAGAAATATCATCCGCTAATACGTGATCAATTATTAGATTGACTGTAGATTTCAAGTCTTTCATTGGAAGGTATTCATTGTCTTTGTCTTTGTTTCTGGAAAGTGTAGCAAGTGCAAATGATTCTAATCCTTCCCATCCTGGATACATTAAACTTATTTCACTAATCTCATCGTCATCGTCAGCGAAATATTTTGTATAAAATCCTGCTTCTCGGCAATTCATAGATTCTACAATTTCCCGCGAATGCCGAATGAGGTTAGATAACCTTTTTCCTTCTTCTACTTTGGCTGAAGGCACAAGACAAGCTTTATCACCCAAAGATTCCGGTTCACCTTTACGACGTTTGCCTGAAGCTCTTTTTATTAAAGTGTTGGAGTTAACGATGTCTCCTTCTTCTGGTTCTATATGTCGTTTTTCATTCAATTTATTCCTCTTTTGCCGAAGCTCATCCAAAATTTCTTTTTGTCTTAATTTATTTAATTGTTGTCTTCTATTTGGGCGATCCATTGAAATATACGATTAAAATATCGTATTGAAAGATTAAATTATGAACATAGTTGAAGGCCTGCACTCTTTGATTTATGGATAAGGTGCTGTGTTTTTGTGATCTGTGTGACGTCATATAAACTATGATTTGTGCAGTAGGGAATTTACATCGATTCTAGAACACTCCATAAAAAATTCTCGGTGTTTGATTGGGTGAAGCTTTTTAATTATTCGGAATATTTACTAATATCGATATGCTATCGATATGCACGGAGTATAAATCAGTTTCACAAGGGTAGTTCATCCCCTTATATATTCAGAGTTATGGGTTTGCACTTCGTTATAATTATATAGAAATGTGATATAAGGGATTTATGCTTCTTCAAGTGTTCCGTTTCACAATTAGCCATAATCGCCATACTGTATATTGTGATTAGAAGCTATAAACTAAAAATAAAGGTGTAATAAGATGCTTTTTTTATTTAATATATTCGGTTTTGGTTATTTAGTTTTAGAATTGTAGTATTAAATTTTTTTTTTTTTTACTTTAGCAGTTTTACCAATATTGTTTATTAAATATTATATAATTATATATAAAAATATAATTAGATAACTATTTAATCTAATTTATATAGGGGCCGCCTATTTCCACCGGATTTACTTATTTCTGCAAGTGATACAAATCACGTCCAATAAGAAATTAGCGTTAGGGTCAGAGTTAAGGTTGGTATAAAGAAAATTGTTTAGTAAAATTTTGGCCAGGAATTTTTTTTATTAGAGCGTAAAAGGTGCTTTCTTAGGCAAAATTTTGAGTTACCGGCGATGTTTTGAAAAAGCCTTCGATTTCATGTTACACAAAGATTTTACCTGATCTTGCGATCTACATATAAAAATTTCTTTTTTTGGATTTGTATCACTTGCAGAAATAAGTATACGCTATTTCTACCATAGTATTTTGCTATTTCCACTAAATTTACTATTTTTAGCATTTAATATAGAAATATTAATTTTAAAATTAAAGTTTTTATTAAGTTAGAGTTTGTTGGGTTTCTAAGTAAAGTTGTAGAGAAGGTTTTTCTGGTTCTACATATCAGCCGATTTTTGGAATTTATAAGTAATGTATATTTTTTAAAGACTTCAAAGCTAAATAACTTCTGATCTACTAGTTCGTTTTAAATGATTTTACTACCAAAATGTTCGTCTCAAAGAGACGAACATTTTGGTAGTAAAATTATTTAAAACAGACCAGTAGATCAGAAGTTATTTAGCTTTGAAGTCTTTAAAAAATATACATTACTTATAAATTTCAAAAATTGGCCGATATGAATAGTAGTTAGATTATTAAAATCGGCTTGGTAGATATTTAGAATTAAAGATACAAATATAAGAAAAATTAATTTTTTTTTTTTAAAATTAAAGAAAGTTTTATTAAGTTAAGGTTTGTTGGCCTTTTAAATAAAGTTGTAAGATTAAAAATATGAATATAAAGATCTACAAATTAGTGGTTATACAAAATATTAAAGTCTATAATACTTTGTAAAAAAATTATATTTATAACACTAGTATTATATAATACCTATAGTAAAATATATATTGTCTAAATTAAAGTTAGAGTTTTAAATTAGAGTAAATATATAGTTTAATAATAGAGTATTATATAATATATTGTAGTATTATAAATATAATTTTTCTACTTTGTATAACTATTAAGGGGAGCACCAGAAATCAGCTAATTTTTTAGAGGAGGAGAGAGTAAAAAAAATTATCAGGTATATAGTTTTAGCCAATTAAATTTTTTATTTAAAATCAGATAGAGGGGGAGGGGTAGCCTCTTAATAAAAAAATATCAGCTGATAAATGGCTCTCCTCTAATTTGTAAATCTTTATATTTATATCTTTAACACTAAATATTTTAGGATTTACTAAGCTAATTTTGATAATCTAACTATTATTAGAACCAGAAAAACCTTTTTATAACTTTATTTAGAAGTCCAAAAAGGTTAACTTATTAAAATTTTCTTTAAATTTTAAAAAATTAATTTTTTATATTTACTATATATTTCTATATATTTTATATTAAAAACTAAAATTAGTAATTATAGTATAAATAGTAAAATATTATAGTAAAAATAGTAGTTTCTTTTATATATTTGATTACAACTCTTTTTAATAATTACTTGACTAATTTTTCTAAAAAGCCTAACTTTAAAAAAACATTATAGTTAAAATTAAGCTATATTTCTAATTTTATAAAATAAATTATTATTATTTTTTTATAATTTTCAAAGATGAGATTAAAAATAGATTATTGTTAACAAAACTATTAAATATATAATATTAAAAAGCAAAGCAGATTCATGTCAACTCTTCCTAACAATCACTTGTATCACTAGTTACCGAAAGCAAATTGAAGACTCAAGACCAGAAATGAACAAATAACTTGAAGTTTTCTTAATATAAACTATTGTTGATGAAGTTTTAAACATGATACACCAAGAAGCAGGTATTTTAAACAGTTTGCAAAAAGGTCAAGCCTCTTTTCATATTATTAGAGTGAACTTCTCTTTGCATTTGGTATCCAAACCAGAGAAGTCTCTGGAAATAGTAAGTAAAAAGAAGACTCAAGTTATTTTGGAAACAGAAAGCTATAGAGAACTCTTGGAACAACACTTCTTGATTAAAAAACTCACAAAACTACACTTTTTGTCTGCCATTTTCTTTTTTCATAATTTTTTACAAAAAGTGGGGGATTTGGCTACCCTTTCAAAAGATTAGCATTGTTTACATTTCATTTTTAGAAAGTCTCAAGTTATGATATGACGAATAAAAAATACAACAATCACATATGAGGAGAAAGTTCTATTTGGATTAAATCGAAGTCCTGTATTTGGATCAGCTTTAACTATACAGGAATGAAGGTTTTAAATAACAGACCTGAAGAAGTAGCTTCCAATGATACCAGTTGACCATAGAAAAGACCTCTGTTTAAAACTGTAAGAAGATTTTGTAATTCGGAAAGTGCAGTTCAATATAAATAAAACCAATGATCATGTATTGAGGTTTTAAAATTGATATTCTAGAATTTGAGATAGATTTCATGAGAGTTGTAAACTGAAGCAATATAATAGAGATATGCAATATTCTGAAGTCATATGCATATAATTTTTAGCCCTTAGCACAGGTTAAAGTGTATTTTAGTTCATAGTTT